GTTCGGGTTCAGTACAGATGCATCGATTGTTGACGAGGTAAAGTGGACCGTGTCGTGCGCAAGTCTTTTGTGTAATGAACGTTACTTTCGGTAAAAAGGGGGCATACGACCAGACTAACATTAAAGGCAGGCCAATCTTGGCCGTAAGGTACTTCAATTTTGACGAGGCGTGCGGCCAATTTTGAAAGGCACGGCGGCCATTGGCCGCGGTGCCGCGGCTTATGTCTAGCCCTGTGCTTAGATGTGTTTAGTACAATATATGCTCTTCTTGTTTTACCCTGTTCATTTTGTGTTTAAATGCTAAAAAACATATTTAGGTGTAATTCTTTGGGGCTGGGAACCAATTAATTGGTTTTCCATTATTTCTTATGGGGAAAATTCGATCACAACTCGAACTTTTTAGGATTCGATCCAGAGTTTTGAACGGATTAAATTTGAGTTCTGAGGTACCACTGTATATATATTTAATCGATAAGGACAAAAACAAAATGAATTGAATACATTAATTTGATCAAATTGGTATATAAATGATCAAATGATTACCCAAAGTTTATTTCGGTTTCGGTACTCTGACTAAAAAAAAAAATTCCGATTTTGGTAAAAAATTTATTTTGGTGCATTGCTAATTATCATCATCATGATGCACCTTTACAATGCTCCATACAGCCTTTGCAGGTTAACATGCAAGTGTTTTGTATCCCTTAACAGAAGCCATACAAAATAAAAGGGGAACTTTACAAATTGGTGCGCCTTGCTTCTTAACCCAGAACACTGGTTTTAATTAATACAGTGATGATTGGTAAAAGAAGTGAAACACAAACCCCTCCTTTAGTGACCGAGGGACGAAATCGGAAAAATTAGGATGTGCTACACAGAAAGTCTCCGGCTTTGTTAAACCGCTCATGGTCTGAGTTTGCTTAGGGGATCCCTGTTGCTTTTCAGGACAGTGAGCTTCCGCAGCCGAATTCTGCCCCCCGACTCGGTGTGGATGGAGGATGCCAAACTGAAGGGACTAGAGATCTGTCACCCTCAGGTAGGCCATGTGTTGCTGCCTGCAGTTACCTCCAAATGGGTGGTTAGGAGTGAGGTGAGGCTTTACTCAGCCTATCTATCACAGGAGAGGAATATCTTCAACCGCATCTTCGGCGGCTTCCTGATGAGGAAGGCGTATGAGCTGGGCTGGGCCAATGCCTGCTACTACGGGTGAGACCAGGATCCAGAATCAGAACCTAGGTGCACAGCACTCAGCCACCAGGTGGAGACAGTCACATCACCGTGTCTCTCTTGTAGAGGCTGTCGTCCTAATCTGGTCGCGGTTGACGACATCCTGTTCCAGAAGCCAGTGGAAATTGGCTCGCTGCTGCTTCTGTCCTCACAGGTGAGACCAATGCAGAGTGCTTCTTTTTGGACTAGAAAGTGAGTTTTGAACTCAACCTAGGTGTATGTTTGTGTTATAGGTTTGCTACACAGAGGGCAAGTACATCCAGGTCAGAGTTCACACAGAGGTCCTGGACCCTGAGACGCGCCAGCACAACACTACCAACGTATTCCACTTCACCTTCAGCTTCCCACAGGATGTGCGGGCAGTCATCCCAAAGACGTATGGAGGTCAGCCTCTGCTTCCATCCCCATCTCCTCCTCACAGTGAGGGTGTACTTACACTAAGCAGTTAGAACCGTACCCGAGTGCGTTTGACCACCAAAGCGCGGTTTGTTTGACAAGTGTGAGTGCTCCGAACCGTGCCCGGGCGCGGTTCGTTTAGCCGTCCCTGGCCCACTTGGAAGAGGTGTGCCAGAGCACGGTTCAGTTGGACTTGGGCGCGGTTCGCATGTAGTTTGAGCGCTAACCGTGCTGGAGCACGAAACAGGACGCGTGACATCACATTTTTGCGACGCTCCAAAACCAACATGGCGGGGAAAGGGTCGCTTTGGTCTATGGTAGAGGTGCAATGTTTGTTGGAAATTTGGGCAGATGAGAGCATACAAGAACAGCTGGACAAAACGCTCCGACCAAAGACCAAAAGCGACCCTGGCGCGGTTCGCATGTAGTTTGAGCGCTAACCATGCTGGAGCACGAAACAGGACGCGTGACGTCACATTTTTGCGACGCTCCAAAACCAACATGGCGGGGAAAGGGTCGCTTTGGTCTATGGCAGAGGTGCAATGTGTTTTGGAAATTTGGGCAGATGAGAGCATACAAGAACAGCTGGACAAAACGCATAAAAACTCAGATTTAGCAAAATCCAGGATTATCAACTTCATCGTGGATACCAAAGAACCACCGAGCAGTGTCGAGACAAGGTTAAAAAACTGCGGGCACAGTATTTAAAGGTACGGGATGCACTCCGTAAATCTGGCAGCTCTGCAGACGAAAAAGATAAATTCCAATGGTATGACGCTGTCGACAGCATAATCGGTAGCAAACCATCTAGCCAACCGAACGTGCTGGAGTCCCATCCGCGAAGATCGCTGGATTCTACATCATCTGATACGGAGGACACAGGACTGGAGAGATCCCTGAGCTGTGAGTAACGTTAACATACATACCAGTTCCATTTGATAGCTATTCTGTTGATTTAGTATGTGCATGTCCCTAAAGTAAATTATACAAGGTTTTACTACGAATCCAACCAAGAAACCATGGTTACTTTAGTAAAACCTTGGTTTCCACAAATTGACCATGGGTATGCTGATAAAACTGGGTTTTACTACAAAAAGAAAAAATTACATTTTCATAAGGGATGTTTGTTTACTGTTATTATTAAAGTGCTTACATTTATGTTTATTTTGCTTTTATTTCAACAGTTACATCATTCAATTCAGATTCAACAATCGCTTCAAACACTGGTGATGAGATACAGGACACAACAGAATAGACTGAACCTGAGACAATACCTTCAGAACAAGGCAAAAAGAGGAAGAGAAAGGTAGAAGTAAGTGACATGGTGACTGCCTTTCCAGACATGCAGAAACAACATCATGAAGAATTCATGCATGGGGAGCACCTGCGTTACCAGCAAGAAAAATGCTCCTCCTCATACACCTCCTCCTGCTACTCCTCCTCCTCAGCTGCAGTATCCGTACCATGCGGAGACTCTGAGGACGATAACTCTACACATGTTTATCGCAACCTGTAAAGGCACAGTTGTTCAAGTTCATGTTCATGTTTTTGTTACTGTATTTAAAATTAGCATTTTATTATAAGGGTTAAGTTTTATCTTTTTTTTAGTTTTTATTAATAACATGTTTGTAATAGGTAAAACACACGACTTAAAACACCTTTTCCAGAAATACCTGAATTAGCACTTCTGGCATTATACTTGCATTACTTAATAATTTTTTTTTTAAAAAAGCACTTTTCCAACAGAGTATTAGATCGATGGTATTCATAGCCTTGGTTTTATTGAGCTAGTATCGGGAAAAATTCATTGTGGAGTCTTAAAGCACTTATGTAAGTCGCTCTGGCTAAGGGCGTCTGCCAAATGATGTAAATGTAAATGTACTTGACAAAAATTGTGAAGCACGCAACAGGCGCTGATAATTGTGTTTGTTGTCTATGCGGCAATCACACCTCTTCATTAAGCATCTCCACCTTCCTTTCATTAGGCCAAAAGCCCTTTCCACAGTCATCTGTGCCTTGCTGAGGCGGTTGTTGAAGGTGGTCTGTGCAGGAGTTGTTTGTTGATTTTCTGGATATGGTTTCATCAACCATGGCAGTAATGGATATGCAGCATCCCCCAAAATCACCACTGGCACATCTACTCCTTCAAACCTCTCTGTTATCCGAGGGAACAGGGTATTACTCTGATCCCTCTCAACCAATGATGAATTTGCAAAAACTCTTGCATCATGAACCTTGCCCGGCCATCCCACATTAAAGTCCCAGAACACAAGTCGATGGTCAACCACACCTTGCAGAATAACAGAGTAGAAACCTTTCCGGTTGTAGTAGTCTGCAGAGCTTACAGGCGGAGCTAAAATCCCAATATGAGTGCCATCAATAGCTCCTTCACATTGTGGGAAGCTCCACCTGTCTCTGAAATCCGGAATTATGCTTTCAAATTCCTGTTCAGATGGTGTTCTGATGAAAAGGGAAAGCAAATTTTTCACAATTGCAGAGGCTACATGGTTGGTAATGCTAACAACAGTTGACTGACCAATCCCAAATAAATGGGAGATGGTTCTGAACTCAACATTTGTGGCCAGTCTCCATATGCATATTGTAACACGTTGGTCCACGGGCACTGGTTTCCTGAATGTAGTGGTCTGTCTTTGAAGGTGCGGCTGCAGGCTGTTGCACAACCGCAAGAATGCTGTCCTTCTCATTCTGAAATTAGCCTTCCACTCACAGTCTGTTCAGCTGCTGAGAACATGCTGCCACCACACACCAGATCTCTGCCGAATCCATATGGTCCTGCAGCAGAATGGAGAAATATTGTTAACTGTATATAGTTTATGCATACACAATTACCTTACAGCACTTTGAAATGTAAATAAACAACAAAGTAGTATTCAAGTGCACACATAATAGTGATGTGTCCCATTGAATACAGGTGTCTTAATACAAGAATGTAGCTAATATTAACCAGCAAGTGATAGTAAGTTACATGATTATTAGCTATAGAACGCTACTGTCATCATTACAAAAAACATTAGAAACATATTGTATTTCAAATTTCATAATACACTTTTCAATTGTATTCTATGACATTTCAGTATATTAATTCTCACCTTGTCGATGTACGGAAACTGTAGTCGGTAATCAAAGCTGCAAAGTCCTTGCTGCACTTCAGCTGGTACCTTGCACACCTCCTCATACGAGCAGCACGATTGAGTGAAAAATTTCTTGCCACAAAAGCGATAGACCTGTTTAGCAACAGGCTGTGAGAGGGCTGTGGACCACCACGAACCAAACGACTCAAAATTACTATCAACAAAGTAACCAGAGCGATGGACGCCATTGCGTCTTCCTGTTTATCCTGAAACCGTCGCACCATAATGACGTAACCGTGCTCTGGCACGGATGCTGAAACCCTATGTGAGTGCAGGCCAGAGGGGGAGTGGGGACAATCGTACTCGGGCCCGGTTCACGGCAACCATGCGTAGTGTGAGTACACCCTGATTCTTCAGCAGCAGCCTTTGATAACCCAGATGAATGTGTTCTGTGCTTTGTCTGTTTCCACAGAGTCTATGCTATATCTGGACGGAAAGCGGCACTTCTCGCAGGAGCACTGAGGTCATCTCTACCTCCATTCAAGCCTGGAGGCACCTCCGTCTTCTGCCACTATAGGCAAACATTTGCATGGACCTGCTTTTATTTAGAGCTTTATCTTCCACAGTTGGGTGGGGGGGGGGAGGAAGCAGGAAGTGACACTCCTGCTTGGGGACAGTACCTCTGTTACCCCTTTTCCACTGCACTGGTACCAGGGCTGAAGTTGGGAAACAGCAAGAATGGGCCGGCATTTCCACTGACTTGAGAGCCCAGTGGGAGCTGGGCGGCGACATCACAAACCATGCCTACTACACAAAGTAACTTTTCACATTGCTAAAAGAGCTTTAATTTGTTCAGCAGCCCGCACAATTATGGCACTGGAATGGTACCAGCACCAGTGCAGTGGAAAAGGGGTTTGTCAGATGGATACTCATGAATGTCAAGGGACAGCCCCCCCAGCTCAAGCAGAGCATCCATATTCCCGAGATGGTTTACTGACACCACATAAAAGCTGCCAAGAAATTTTACACCTTTTACCATTTTTTTTTAATTAAATTCAATTTGTTACATTGGTGCCAATGTGTGAACATGTCACAGAAATGTATAGAAAAAACGTGGCCCTCTCCCCTGCCACAGGCTGTGATAATCCAGGCAGGACTGAGATCTTTATACTTATTTACTGTCAACTGTTATTCAGTATGTATGAAAGGACAAAAGCAGGTGGACATTGAGGATTTAGTTCAGTTTATCAAAATACTTAAGCTTGCCTGCAGGATCAGGGATTATCTGTAAGAGAGAGAAAATATCACTGGGGATGTTTTACTGAAGTGTAATGCATCTGTCCTCATTAAGGTTCCTCCAGTCTGCCGTAGTATAATCGCTGACCTGCTTAAGGCCATATTTTATCATCTTGGGGAGGTGTTACAGCTCCTGCTTGTTCCACCAAGCCTTCATAGCTGCATCTGGGTCAATCTGATTGGACAATTTAAGGACCCACCCACTAATGCTCTCACATTTCTGAGCAGTCTAGCTTTAGCCTGTGGTGGCCCACAATGTTATGAAACCGCTTTTTGGTCGGCTGGCTCTCAGACTGATGGGTGCTCCTGCATCCCAGGGGAGTGAATCATACAGAGTTACCATATTAACAGGACTCACCGTGTCACTGCCTGGCTTCCAGCCGGCGGGGCAAACTGCAGAGAGAGACAGGCCCGTTTAGAAGACGCGGACTCCCAGAGCCCCACAGACGTGTCAGAGGTACAGCTTTAACAAGGAACAGTCAGAATCACAGCTCCTACCCTCTCCATGCTTGTCCGTGTACTGGAAGGCCTGCACCAGCCGTAGGGTCTCGTCCACAGAGCGACCCACTGGCAGGTCGTTCATGGTGATCTGCCGAAGGATGCCCTTGCCGTCGATGATGAAGAGACCCCTGAGGAAGAGCAAAGGACATGAGGAAAGCCTGCACTGGGGCAGGAGGATGCGTGGGAAAATGAGAAAGTGAGACGGAACCTGCTAGCTCTCTGCTGGAACAGGTTGGATAGGATAGGCGAGTCTCCACTGAAAGCTAAAGCAGCCCCTGTACCTTAGCGTGTGGCCCTGGTCCTCCAGGAAGACCCCATAGTCCTTGGCAATCTGGTGGGTGAGGTCAGAAAGCAAGGGGATTTTCATAGATCCCAGTCCTCCCTGCTTCCTGGGTGTGTTGATCCTGTTGGCACGGAAACAAGTGATGTCTTGCTTGGGAACCCAAGGGTTGTCCAACCACAACATTTCAGAGTTATGGAAGTCACAGCCTTTTACCCTCCAGCTCATGAACAGGCCACTGGAGGAGGTATCTATAGGTCTATATCAGGAAGCAGCGTATCTGGGATTTGCAGTTGGTTACCAGGCCAGGTGAGTGAACTGTGAATCCACGGAACACGCCACCACCTCAGCGTTGATGGCACGGAACTCCTGGATGCGGTCGCTGAACGCAATGATCTCCGTGGGGCACACGAATGTGCTGCAACACACAGGGAAAAGTGTGATCCTTTAGACTGAAGCACGGCTAATAACATGCTGAATTCTTTCAGGAGCAATACGTACAAATCCAGCGGGTAGAAAAAGAACACCAGGTATTTCCCTCTGTAGTCCGACAGCTTAAGCTCCTTGAATTCACCGTTGATGACGGCGGTACCTTCCCAGTGAGGGGCCGGCTTGGAGACTGGGGACAAGCAGGGACGTGGGGCGTGTGGGGGTGAAAACTCAAACTACACGGAAAATCAGCAAAATACTTTATTTGCAAACAAAAATAAAAACATTTGGTTGATACACATTAGCTGAGGCCAAGAAATGCCCACCATTTACCAGTATCATAGTGGTAATGCAGAACAATTTAGCACATTGAGTGGTGATTCAAGTCCTAATTACGCCATCGTGCGCAGATTTGCAGATTTTCCATCTCGGAAAAAGTGAATCGTAAAATAACACTCCATACATGTATAACAACAGGAGCTGTAGGTGGCGGAGGTGAGCGGCGGACACAGCCTACACCATGACGTGTCCTAACGAGGGCGACGATCCAGGGATCTCATGTTCCAAACGCACAGCGCATGAAATTACCGCGCTAATTCAACTTAACTTTCTCGACCGCGTATGTACATGTTAACGAACTTGTTCGCGATTATTCGAATGGTGATTTGCAGGACATTTGTTCTTAGTAATGCAAATTACCGATAAATAAAATACAAAGATGAATCGTTCGTCGGGTACATGCAAAAAAGGATGATAATCCGTGTTTAAATAAGGACGCTGAAGAAAGACTCATCAGGGTTTCATTTCTGATTGATATGCGTCTCTAACCGCTTGGCAGCAGATGGTCAGGGGTACCTAGCGCTGCGTTATGCTAAGTTTTACTCCCATACCTTCAAGCTTTAATAGGCTAGTGAGCAGATGCAATAAACAAATTAATAGATTAACACAAATTTAATTAATGCGGGGCCGAGGAAACTCACTCTTCGCTTTGCTGAGATGCAGAGAGTGATCGGACACCGGCACGCGGAAAGCCTCCCCAGGATAAACGTGTCCGCCCGCGTAGTTATAACACTCCTGCTCCTTCCTGCCGTTTGATGCCTCCTGAGCTGCAGCCACAAGCTGGAGCAGCAATGAAACTGCGAAAAGCATGCCAGCCGCCTCCAATAACACTTTACCACAGCGCTGCCCGTCCATCTTTACTCCGCACAGCGTGCACGTCCCACCGCGCAGCGCGCAGAAATACAAACCCGACCCCACCGCCGCACGTGTGCGCGCACGCCATGAGCCCGCTTAAAGGTACAAAAGCTCGAAAAATTCCATGAACAGATATTCCATTCTGCATTAAAGGGGTATACAGTGAAACAAAAATATGTTAAAAAGTAAAGAAATAAGATGTACGCCCTCATATTTCAGGATAAATGCATATCTCGTGGCCGAAGATTTAGAGAGAGGGTGTGTTCTCTCCAGTAGTATAGTAGAGGTAAATTATAATTTGTTTGATGCGAGATAAAACTTTATCAAAGACACCCACACATGGTTAAATATCTGCTTCCCAATATAAGGCAAAGACACTTGTCAGCAGAGTTGCGCAAGAGAGTTTATTGCTTTTTCATAAGGGTAGCAACCAATTGAACAGTGGCAGAAGTGGACAGCTAACTGGTTCTAATATAACATGGGATCTGTTTTATTCGCGGGTATTTGAGCTTATTTGTCTTGGGAGGCGCCCTGAGGTGGAATAACTTAATTATGCAGATATGAATTTGAAGTGAGTAAAACACTCACTTTGGAACAACATTCACTGAACAATTTGCAAAGGATACTGTCAGTCTCAAATGCTGATTTATGGTTATGAATGTTGTCTCATTTGAAAACGAGTATATAATCGTAACAGTTGTGACTCGTGACAGACTCCGGTCTTCACGTTGCTTTTAGGACACGGGCGATAAACTCCGTGTGCAGTTCTCGTCGTCCACCCAGCAAAGTACGGAAATGCGGCATTTGGAGTTTTTATCTGCGGAAGCCGCTGGAGAGCCATTTGTTGCATGAGCTGGCAGTAGTTCACAAAATATGTTTGCCATTGATACAAATGTACTGAGGCCAACAACAATGTATGTAGCTCTGATATACACTCACCTAAAGGATTATTAGGAACACCATACTAATACGGTGTTTGACCCCCTTTCGCCTTCAGAACTGCCTTAATTCTATGTGGCATTGACTCAACAAGGTGCTGAAAGCATTCTTTAGAAATGTTGGCCCATATTGATAGGATAGCATCTTGCAGTTGATGGAGATTTGTGGGAT